ACATGTGTTTTATAAGCTGTATGTACATGTAATTAGGTTTATAAGTAAAAGTCCAATATTATAAGTTAGTTTTGGGTACATGTATATGTACCCAGGGCTGACAAACTCTCTTTTCTGCTTGCTCATGTTTTGTCAATTGGAGATTTTAACAAAATGCCACCTTGGAAAACTTTGATGATATAAAAATGGGAGTATATCAATTTGTTTACATGGTAAGCAAACAATGTAAGTTTAACCAGACCCACACCGTATCTTGAAACTGATGTATCCTGGAGTATTTTTAGAGCCCTGAAATCTATCTGAACAACCTGTTTTTTTATAATGTATTTTTCTCGAAGGAATTTAAACAGCGGCTTATCTTAGGGGTCAATAGATTTTTACACTCAACCATTTACACTCAATGTTGAGTGTAAAGTGGCTTGAGTGTAAAAATCAACAATCAGGGGGTCAAATTACAATTTTACACTCAATACTCTTTAATTTTTAGAGTGCAAATATTTGAGTGCAATAAGAGGAGTGTAAAATTGTAAAAACCTCCCCCATAGTTAGAATTTTACACACAAGCTTTTTACCTACAATAAGGAGTGCAATTTTTTTGTAGGCAAAAATGTAAATACAAGGCCCAAAATATAATTTTGCACCCAACCAGCATTACACTCCATGAGAAGTGCAAAGCTCAGCAGTGCAAAGTTGCAATTTTCTACCCCCAAATTACAATTTTGCACTCTTGGCTTTTTACCTACAAGTCAAGACCCAAGATTTTACAAGTTTTTTTTAAGTTCAACGTACGTTAGATTTTTATGTGTTTGGGCCCTAATTTCCAAATCCAAAGGTGGGCGCTGTGATTACCATTTTCAGCAAAGACTCACTCTCAGACTAGTGACCTAGTCACTATGTTTTGGGATGTGTGGCTGTCTCTTGTGTTCACACTCTGGCCACTTGGTTCCACCACTTAATTGCCAAGTTACAATTCATCAACAAGGCGCCCATTCAACAAGTACCAACACAAAATACACAAACAAGATGACAGAGAAGTGAAATGTGACTCCCGCGCTTACAATTCACAATCATTGCCACAGGCAGTTGTATGCAACCACACAAGTAAACAAAATGAAAAGAAAACAGGCCAAGGCATTTGCGCCCATGAGAAATTGATACCCCTATTTTTTCTTCTTCCCCTTAGGCTTAGCCTTTGCTTTAGCCTTTGGTTGGGTCGCCTCATTTTTTGACCCTTTTGCTTGGTCTGCGCTAGGTTTGGTGGGACGCTTGAGATAAACACAAAGAGTTTGTCCAGGCTCAGTGGCTTCCACGGTGGTGGCTGTCGTACCATCATCATCCGGCATATCACCAAAAGTAAACGCTTGTCCCAGAGACAAGTCTTTGTCACGGAATAGACGACCTGATGAAAATCAAGAGGAAAAAGTTCATCATCAATAAGACGCGTTGTAAAAGGTTGAATCAGGCTCTCACCTGAAGTTGGCAACTCCACTCATTCATCAGCCACAACTTTCTTGGTTTGAAGGCCAGGTTTTGTCTTAATCTTTGCCGCTTTATTGAGGAAAATGATGTGGTAATCTCAATGTGGGCTTTCACGATCAGAAGGAAGAACTTAGCACTTACCAGCAAATGCTTCCTTGGCCTTGTTACTAACAAAGTTGTTTTCGAAGACCCGTTTGGCGTTGGATTTGGCCGGCATAGGACTCATTGGAGGTGGTAACTGGTATTCATTTGTATCTTCAATCATTTGATCATCAACCCCAACTAAGTCTTTGGCCAAAACAAAAGGGACATCACCCAGAGCATCCAGGTTCTTGTTGGTGATTTTGGCTATTCCAGCATCAATGACTTTCTGCTCGTCAGAGGTTGGTTTTCTTGCGTAGATGACCCAACTGGTGGACAGTTGGGCTCCTGCAATCAAGCTCAAATCGCATCCGATTAACTGGGCCCAACCATCATCTTTGCAATTGTCAAAGAACCATATACCACGTGCCCCATCAACATGCCTTACCAGCTTGCAACAATAATGGTTATAACACCAAAACCTGCGTGACATGATGTGATACTCGACATTGTGTAGCACCAAGACTTCAGGCCAGTCCATCTTGCCCATGAAAAAGGCACAATCGTCTGCTGTGAGGCCAGCTACTCCCTCGAGATTAAAATAAACATTGAGGGATGGTTAGAGAAATCCAAACAGGCACATTGGTACAAGCGAGGTACGTCAGCTGTTGGATCAGATTGGAGCACTGTGATATTGGCTTGTTTGTTATTGACTTGGGGGGAATGTTGTTGACGGTGGGTGGCCAGACAGGAAGGGCAGCATCAAGGGTTTTCCAAAAACAGGCCCTTGGTCTGCCACAAGTGTAGCAATTTGGCCACTTTGGAGTAGGGTAGGTTCACCTCATGAAGAATATTGTTAGTGATTGCAACAGTCGTTGTGGTGAGCAAGATCTCTACTTAAGCAAAAAATTTAAAAATTATGTGAAAATTCGAGTTTTTGGTCAAAGGCACTATTATTATTGAAGTTATTAGTAATCAAGGCTATCAAAGTTGATTTATAATCTTCATTTCATTATCTTTCAAATCATATATTTACATAAGTAATTGATAAGAACATTTAAGAGTAAAGAAAAATTCGAAAAGATCAATAAAAATAGTAAAAGAGTGAAAATCAAATTAGGAGAATTAGTAAGAGGAGATTTGAGGAAGAAGAACATTTAGTTTGGATCTTTAGGAATGGAAACTGTTATGAAAAGAATGGAAGAATAAGAAGAATATTAAGAAAGTTGAAGAAAAATTCGAAAATATGGGTATGAAAGTTTGGAAAATGGTTTTTAGCTTATTATTAGAAGAGATATTGGTTCAGGAAGGTTTTATTGTGAAAGAGAAGAATCACATTAGTCATCAGCAACTTTAATCATGAGGATTGATAAGGGAGGTGTGAAGTTATTCAAGAAAAGGGAAATTTCGAAGAAAGGTACTATGGTATTAATTCCTGTGTAGTGATGTCATTGATGGATTGATTGCGCCAAGAGTTTTTCAGAAGGATTTTGATGCTGTGTGATTGATTGGAGTGCTGTGGAATGATCTTTTGATAGAAGGAAAATCATTATTAGACGTGA